AATGGCAGGAGAAAGGAATCGTACGGGGGGGGGGAGCAGTTGGGGGCAGTGAGAGACCACGCCTCGGCCGCCCGGCCTTCATCCGGCGGGTGGCATGACTAAAGACCTCATCAACCCCACACGCCAGCAGAAAAAAAAATCAAATGAAATAACTACTCTAATTCCATCTCACCATTTCAAATATAACTCTCAGTGCAACCTTTTGCTGATAATGATATTTTATCGTTGCTTTCAGTGAACATATTCGCGTTTTAGGTATTCTGTGAACAGGAAAAACTAGGAGTAAACCGTCAAAATTGAGACAAAATTAAACTCTCTCATTAATAATGAATAAAAAAACATAATATATGACCTGTGGCGCGACTGCTCGCTTCGGGTCTTGGCCGACCAGTGGTGACCCAGCCTCTCGGCCATGGGATAAGGAAATCGAGTGGTTAGCAAGAATACATCCCTTCACCGTATACTCTGCTCTTCATAACCTTCGGGTGGGCTTTCTCATCGTTGCACAGAAATAGATACTGGACATTTATAAGGAAGGCGCAGTTATCATTCAGCCGGGAATCGTACTCGGAGTTGCGTCGAGGAATCGAACTCGAGGTTGCGTCGTTGAATACAAAATTATTACTTAAACACAGTGGAAAATGCTTTTCTTTCCTTTTAGGTTATCCTCTATTAAAATACTTTCCGTCAAAGCGCTGTAAGAAATATTCTCATTGTCGCAATCTCAATTTTAATCTGGAGAGGGATGGACCCTCCGCCACACAAATCAGGAGAGTCACTTGTCGAAATCAATTTAGAAAGCGTACCTTGTGTTGCAGAAGTTTGCCAATTCTCCAAACTCACTCCAGTCATTCCTCTAATTCCTCTCCAACCACAGTATTGCGCGTCGCGAAACCAACCGAATTTTACCGACAGACGTTCCAGTAGCACCATATACTGCTATCATTTCACGGTCGACCGCGTAGTTTTACTTAATTGTTTACGGGGAAGTCTTATCCGAAAAATATTTTAAGGCTGGATATTCATTAAAAGTAATAATATCAAAACACGTATTTATCTTACTCCAGACGCTTTTAACGATACAAGAGAGGAGTCACCACGAAATTATGTTAGAAAAGGTGTTTTTGTATCGACATATTTCACGTAAGCGACACTTATTAAGACAATATGTCCCCTCCCCTTCTCCGGAGGAAGCCCGATCCATTCTCGTCAATTCGTAAATGATTTTACTAATGACGGATGTTACGACTCGTCACATGAATAATCCATGACAATGCTTACTTGTTATGAAAACCAGTCATTTCTCACAACATTTCTTGTCCACAAGGCACTTGATATACTCCAAAAACAGAGAAAGAACTGGGAGCAGTGCACTTTTGGTAATATTTCACTGGCAATCATTTAAAAAATAAACTAGTGGTGCTAAAACAGCACGCACTTTCTCGTCCGTACTTTCATGCAAATTTACGAAAAATTGTAGAAGACCTTATTTTAAAATATATCTTTAAGGAACCGATTCGATTGTAGGAAGACCCTGAAAAAATTATAATGTTTTGTAAGTTTCGAAAAATCAGGGTTTCCAACGAAAATGATACCTGCGAAACAAACTTTAATCAAAACGATTTTTTTTATTTTGGAAATGTCCCATAGTCTTCATGGAATGTTCCCCACACTATTAAAATATCGGTTTCAACTTTAAGGGGTCGCAACATCTGCCAGATCGATCCGAGAATATTAATTTGGAAGAAAATCAGCAAAACGGTTTAGCCGCTAGCGCTGTTCACAGACGGACGGACGCATAGACAATCGTTTTGCCGTCATTCGGTTTTGCGATATCAAGGACCCACAAAACAAGGTTTCTGGCTACACCAGGTGTTAAAGGTTTTTTTCTCTAAATTTAGCAACTGGATTTACACATTTTTTCCTAAACAGGAACCTATAATAAGAGTTTTTCTGTCACAAATTCGCCGTTTTTTCGCGCAGCGTTATTTTCTCAGTACTGTGTACGCGGTAGCAGCATTAATTGTCTCATTTCTTATTCATCATGAAATGAAAAATTTCATCTGCAAAGCTCTAAATGTCCTTACCGCAATGATATATTTCGCAATGCTGCCTATAAAATTAAAAATTCTAAAAAACGTTGTTTTTTTTTTACAAAAACGAGACACACTGACAGAGCGTGTGACGTAAGAGTAGTTTTAAACGATTGTCAATGAAACATCGTTCAATATTCGTGATGAAGTCCCCGACAATGTACGCGAAAATAGCAAGCTCCGCCAATTGCTAAGTCAGATGCAAACGAAACCGCGCTCCATGGCAGCGTTAGTTGGACAGAGTTCAGGGAAGCGCCAACCCCTCCGCCAAAGGAAAACGATTAGCGAAACTTCTCAAGCCGCGAAAAGCTTTCAACAGGCCCTCATATACAGCACACAGCCGTGAGATCCCCACGAGACTACAAATGGCGACGTACGCCATCAAACGCGTTTCTCATACACCGTAGACGCATTATAGCGTGGGCACCACCTCTGTTCCGAGAACAAGAGATTGCTGCTTCCCAAGACATCGAAACTCTTACCTTCTCACTACCATTCGTTTAAACGTACTTATTAGTCCCAGCAGCCATGAATTCAAAATAAACGCCCGCAGGAGCTCTGTATTCTGCGAAAAACAGCCGACCGCTGCTCGGGGTTCTCCTGGTGAGCGTTGCGACGAAGTCCCGGAAGGAGCTTACAGCGCTCGCGGCTCTTGCGAATCCAAGAAACCACCGGGAGAGCGGCGAACAGCCGCCAGATGCCATCGGATGTCGTCGGAAGCCGTCGGGTGCCTTCGAATGCCTTCGGATGCCTTCGGATGACGTCGGATGCCGTGATCGCCGATGTGCGTGAACCCTTGAAGATACCCTTTCCAGCATCACGTTCGCAGTTTACATTCACCAAATAACCATGTAATACAATTAGCGTTGAGGAAATAGCATTACAAGCATGCAGTACCAGAAGAAATTATTACATTGTAATGGAAGGACAATATCAAAAGAGCGAATGGACTTCGTAGAGCGATTGTGAATATGACGAATATAAACACTATCAAGAAGCCCACTGAACGAAGTGGCTCAGGGCGTAGCGCGGTGATTTCGCATTCGGGAAGCCCCGGTTTAATCCCCATGCCCGCCATTCTGACCGGGGTTTTCGTGGTTTCCCCTCGGTCATATTAGAGGAATGCTGGGATGGTTCTACTGAAAGGCCACGACCGCGAAACCGGCATCGCTAGCAGAATTTGTTAACTACGTGAAGATACGAAGGTTAAGCGAATTCGAGTCATCGTGGGTTCCTGGTTAGGTCAACGACTAGGAACCCCGTAATCTAACGGTGCCGAGTTCAATTGCTCTTTACGGGACATATAATGACTAAATACAAATTCAAAATCAAGAAACCCACACCCAGCGTTATAAGTGGCAGTATTTGTAAAATAATCCGTAGACACGTTGATTCAAACATGGGAAGTTAAAGTTACTTCAGGAAAGGGATTTCGTTGGCGACAGTGCACGCAGTGAAGCGAGCGAGGGTAATGGTTCGCCACGCCCCAACGCTTCTCAGCGCTCGACCGGAGGCAACCGACAGCAGAAAGCGCTCGACCACCCACTGCTAGACGGCGGAAAGACGGTCGGCCGCGGGCGGTTATTTTCCCACAGAACGCACAGCTCCAGTCAACCCCACGTCTACGGCAACATACAATATTCCTCGTAATCATACACATCTACGCGCGATCTACTTCCCAACATCTTTCAGAGCATCCGAAAACTTCCCAACAAACGAATATGCCACTTCTTCATGGTCCTCTACGCCGTCTCGCTTTCGGCAGGCAGTGAAGCTAAATGCGTTACGGCACCTTGTAGAGGCAAGTTTCCCGGGAACGCCGCCGCGGAGAAATAAGGAAGAAGCCGGGCACTTGGGACGACAGTGGCGTGGGCGGCGACGTCTGCGTGTGAGCGCACGCAAAACTCGCGTCTCCAGCAATCGCGTTTCCACTGCCTGGAGGATCCAGAGCCACTGCTCGGCGTGTTTCAAGGAAAACGCGCACCTGCCTTCCAGGGAGAGGAAAGCGCGCGGTCGCGCATACGAGCGCCGAAGAGGACTTCGGTGCGACGTATGGCGACTGAAGGGAAAGAAGGTAGAGAGCATTACGATATAAATATATGCCGACAGTTACAACGGGCGTCCACAAACGTTGCTGTGAATTGTGAAGTGAATTTTGAGACCAGAAAGAAAGGATTTTACAACCTAATTTACGGAATACTTATATACGGAATACACGCCCTACACTTTGCGTATGACATACTTTAAAAAATTGATGTCGAGATTTTGATGTAAAAACATGTGACACTCCTTAATAATGATTATTTTTCAAAACGCCCGTTTGTGCGTCTGACTTTTAATTACATTAGCGCCAATATCTGAAACCGGATTTTCCCAAATATTGACATTTCCCGATCGATCTGACCGAACTCAAGGCTTTCTGAATTGAAAAAGTCTCTTTTGATTTTTCAGACTACTTAACAAGTCCTTAGAAGAGTTTCTACATTTTTATCAAAAATGGCTTCAATTTTAATTACTTAATTTAGGTCGAATAAGGCAAAGTGCACTTACAAACATGGTATATGAGTTGTGGTTCGTGTAATTTTGAATGAAATTGTAAGAATTTTCCAAAAATACCTAAAAAACATTTTCTTTAAATCGAATTATTTTGGGAGCCAATATAAGGATAGAGCATAACACTTTGAATTCTAGGTCAGTTTTATTTTCATTAAATCTCTTGAATTTTCAAAAAATTAAATTACTTTTTTTTTTTTTGCTTTAGAATTTTCCCGCGCTTCGTTGGTATATTTTTCAAGAGACGTCTGGAGTATTAGAAGAAAACAAATTGCAACATTAGAATAATACGTAATCATTACATAGTTTTAATATGAGAATGAACGTGGTATTGTATCACCAAAAGCGTGTTCTTTTCCCCTGACTATTCCAAGACATAAAAAAGGGAAGTAACCAAACAGATTACATGACCCCTGCACGATGGAAAATTGACGGAAAATATCCGAAACAGAACTTCGTACGGAAAATTTTCGTTCAAAACTGAGGAGCATAACAACTAAACTTATGTAAGTAAACATATTAATTCGAATTATTTCAATACTTGTGTAACTGCGACAGCAGATCGTTGAAAGGAAATGCACCAAACGATAAAGCGTGAAAAATAGCTAGAAGGTATTCTTTACAACGAAAAAAACAAAAACACGTTGGAAGTCTCTTCGTCTTCTTTAGAAAATATTATCAGTAATTCCCACCTTCGCTTGTTTACAGAAATTCTGGAAGGGGCGAGAAGAACGCTGCAAAGAGCGGAGGCGGGTGAGCGGAGATACGGGAGGCGGAGTGGAATATGGGCCGAGGGCGTGGAGTGAGCACGAGCGCCGCCGCCCCCGCCGCACGGCAAGCTTTTACGTCGGTGAAGGCACACGGCCTGCAAAGCAGCCCACCGAGCTGAATTTCTCCCGCCCAAAATGATAGGCGGAAAAACAAAAAAAAAAAAAAAAAATAAGCGCCCCCGAGCATCCCGCGGGCAACAGGCGCTTAAACCCACGGAATTACGAATGTCATTCAAGAGACGTAGCTCGCAGTCGTGTCATTGTTATTGCCGGAGATAATGCAACGCGGTTGCATGTTGGAGAAGACAAATTGCGCGGAGAAAGTAGACCACGAAAAAGAACAGTTCAGGGGGGTGTAAGCGCGAGCGTTCTCAAATGCAGGAGCGTGCAAGATGATTACGCAGGTTCAGAACCTTCTCCACGGCAGAAATGGAAATTATATTAATAAGAAAAGAGAGCGAGAGTTGGAGGTGAAAAAGCTTGCGTCACAACGCTGTAAAACCGGAGAGAGAGAAACATTGAAAAAGCCCCCTGATAAGCTACAATAATTTCCACGGAAATGCTATATTCATATTAGCTCACATTAATATTACAATGAATTCCACACGAAAAAGAATATACGCCCGAAATCTAATAGCCCCAGAAAGTACTAAAAAAATGGATTCCCGATTTGGGAAATATTTTCGGATTTAGCAACAACATTTACAACGCCTATTTCAGCGTTAGCCCCTAAAGATACTTATTCATCCCTTAATTACATCATTTTTGTATATAAAAAATTTTATTCGGTATTTAAACTATGTTTCGAATAGGCGAGTCATCTTAGAAGATAGAATTTTGTTCCGGGGGCAACACTATTTTTTTTTTTGAAAAAACCAGTGGTTTTATGGAATTTCTGCTTGAAGTTAATGCAAAATTCAAAAAAATCACAAAAATCTCTACGATTTGTATTTTTAATTTTCTTCCGGACATAGAACAAGGGACTCTTAACAGAACGGCGAAGATCTCATTTTCGTTAAATTCTCTAAATTTTTGAAAATTGGAAGTGTTGAAATAATGAGAGAAAATACGTGATGCTGCAACACCACTAGTTACAACATCTGTGTGATGCGTGTCAATTAAAACAAATCATACAATATTTTCGTTTATGTTTAAATTAAATATGACGAAAAATCAAACTGCGCGTCATGAGTATCAGCTTGCATTTAATGAAAATCAAAAAGGTAGCTACTGTGATTCAGCCTTTTTAGTCCGAATTGCCCAAAAATGATAGAAAGGATTTCTAAGTGAATTTGTCAGAACAATGATGAAAGCAAACATTCCATGAAGTAACAATATTATGATTACTTCAAAACTTTCTACTGAAGAACGTAAATAAGGATAAGAAAACGTAACTCTTTAAATGTCTATCTTAAACGTTGAGGTGCCCATTTTGCTTGCCTATTTCTACAGTTTTTCATGCCTATAAATCCGCAATTAATAAAAGTTAAAAAATCGAGCAACAAATACAGGGAACTTTTCTTGCAATAACCACTTAGAAGAGAGACTACACCAAGCGAAATGATAACGTAAAGTAAAAGGAAGTATGGAAAATTCTCAAAATTCAGAGGGTATACAGACGAATCAGATCCAAGACAAGTAAACACAAACAATTTCAAGAAAACTCATTACATTGGTAAATTAATTAAGGAACTGTTTATAATTTTGGAAAGATTAAACCGATTAATTCATCAACGAAGTAAAAATTATTTTACAACTACAAGCTACAACAATATATCATTTTCTTATTATTTGTAGGCAAGTGTGTATTTAGCATTTAGGATCACATTAATTCGGCTTTTATCAGCTAGCCGTGTTATTTAAGATCCATACCAGGGGTTAAAAGATCTTCAAACGGTCAATTACGGGAAAGATTCCAATCACTCTCTAAAGTTTCATTTCAGAATTTAAAAACAAATGTTTTCACTCACGGGTTTCACCTGGACTAGTTGGCATATGTCGCCGTTTTTTGTCCTCTGTGTACACTAACGATATATCAATACCTCAGCCATTACGATTGGCCTGTGTACGCTAACAGCAACTGCCTACAACATGTCTACTCACATCGTACAATGCATTATGCATGAAGAGGCATTACTCATTTATTTCTCGCATCCTCTCACTCCCGGTTTAGTTTCCCGCGAACATTGTATGCAGGCTGTGCCGTTATCCAGTTTCTGTTCATAAGTTAGGCAATACCACACTGACCTGCAGATATTACAGTGGAGAGTTTTCCCAATAGCTCAAACAACAGGCGATATTCTAAACCAGGGAGCACACCACTCTAAGATGCATTGTCAATTGTACATCATCTGAATGAATGTAAATTAGCACCCAAATTCACAAGATCGTGAATATAATTCGGCAGTTCGAAAAAAGTTTTTATAAATTAGAAATGCTGAATATCTTGAATGCATTTATTAGTTAATTAATATGTACGACAGTGTCGTAACGTTCGAACCGCAAGGCCCGCAATGCGGGTGGGCCCAGGTATAAGAGTGCCTACTTTTAGGCTGCAGATTTTGCGATTGTAAGACATATTAATTTCTTGATACTTTCTCTTACACTTTGCGATAGTTGATGCAATAACAGATTAAAAACAGCATTTTCCAGAAGAATGATTTTATTCCATTTTGGTCGTAGCTGTGTTTCAAAATCAATAAAAGTAAGCAATTCATTTAGATTTTCTAACAGACTTAATTTCATATAATTAAATAACAAAGGCAGATTTTTCCATTATTCGTTATTAATCATAGACAGATAAATTCGAATTACGTAAAGGATGTTTTTATTATTTAAGGTATTAATTCTACTTGTGTTTGCTATACACTTTTATAGAGGGGGCCCGGATAGAAATTTTTGCGGGCGGGCCCGCACTCATTTTGTTACCCTACTGATCTACGATGAAAAATTACGTCCATGTATAGTTAAAACATTTTAGTGGAAACAGAATAGAGATGCACGAGTGTAATATAACAAATGATAGATTGAAGAGATATACGGACCAACTTTTTTTCTTTCTTATTATACGGCTTGTTAACTTCACTGCCATGACACAGAGAAGGAAACAAAACAAGACGACCTGCATCTGGCGCTCGCACTGCAAGATGGACTGTACTCTTATCAAGCATGGTTAACGACAGCAGCATGTGAGGCACCACTTGATGGAGCGCCAGAGAACAGTAAGTGGAGACCGGAAATGGGTAATTGGCGACAAGCACCGCGACATCCTCCCGACATCCCCATGGTCGCCTTGGTTTCTTCACCCACTTATATCTTCAACATCTTTGGCGGTACATTTGATGTTATTATTGTTAACGTTATCCCAAAATAGGTTCATACATTCATTATTCAAAAGCGATTATACTGACCGTCGCAAATAGTCGTCAAAAGGGTGTATGAGATTAAACAAATCTATCACTTTAAGGATTGTATTGCTCCAAATAAATCCAGTGAATATTGATACATCACGTGGAGTTTTCAATGATTTGATAATTCATTTAATTCTAATTTCACTGAGAAGCATATTTTTTAGCCGAAGAGAAATTAGCTAAAAATGTTCTGTTATCACATCCATGTTAACGATGGAAATAATATTTCACACTACAACTTCAAATCGAATTTTAATGACTTCAAAACATAAAACTCGCTGTAAACTCACTGTCGACATGAAGTACTTTTGCGAGAATTTCAAAGAGTACACGCATCCGCGAGAGCACTACAACATGATTCCACATATTCTAAAAGTTAATCCAAATAATAAGATATTTGGCAAAGAGGTTCAACATTTGCACTAGTCCATCACAATCAAGGAGTAAAGAGTACACAAATTGATAAAGTCAAAATTCCTAGCGAGAATGAAAATACATTACTGATATTCGGTAAGAACCTGAACTAAACTCCACATTCGCGCTTCTTTCAACGTCTTGTCTACTTCACCACTGTCTTTCGGTGATTGATTATTTCGTGCTTCTGTGAGGGTCGAGCGTTAAGGTCATTAGGCTCGTAAGTGTAGTGCAAGTTTTCATCGCAGGAGGCGGCGTTTACCTTCCCCCGCTGGCTGGCCAGATCCGGCGCCTACCTACATCGACTAGTTTTCCCCAAGCAGACATCTCCCACCAGTGGGGCACCACCCCAGCCGGGACAAGCTCTAGGGTCCAGACGTGTGTGTTGGTGCAGTGTAGGTAAGTGTAATTGTTTGAAAGGGTGGGCGCGATTTTCGTGGCCCGTTTGTTAGGTACTGCTCCGGCATTCACCTGGTGTTGACCGGAGAAACCACCGTTCAGAGCAGCCGACCACTAGAATACTCCTCCAGACAACGATTGAATTCGGCCTAGCTATGTAGCTAGTGTCGACAAATCCTGCCACCGCCGTCGGATTTTTTGAATTGAATTAATGCCTTATTTTACGTGGCGAGTCTCGGGACATCCGGCCCGCTCTTCCGTCTGACCACGCAAATTTCGGTACGCTCCTTTCACCAACTAGCAGAGAAAGGGGGATATTGCTTGGGCGAGAAACAGGCGATGTGAATTTAGCTCAGAGGCATTTAGACTTGAGGATCTTTTACATGCAAGTAAATCTACTAACATGGGACAACCGACTTTACTTCCCTTCGTAGGAAGGCCTTAAAAATTTCGCCCTTAAAAATCCACGGCGTCGATCGGGTTTGAACCCGCCAGTTTGGGTATAGCAGTCCGATATTCTATGCATCGCCGACATTACACCATCACCGTCGATTTTAACTTTAGGACCCCGATCAGAGGCACAGCAGTGGCAGCCCCCGTCATGCGTCCTCCCGGTCTTCCGCCGCCTCTCGCCTGTGTGCCTATGTGTGTGTGTGTGTGTGTGTGTGTGTGTGTGTGTGTGTGTGTGTGTCGGGGGGGGCGTGGCGCGGGTGCGGCCGCGAAGAAAGTGCGAGCGCCGCCGCCGCACGCGCAGATGAGGCACTAAGCGGCGCCAAGTGACACAGATCCGCCCGCTCACTCTCTCCCGGGCCGTGGTTTACCTTGGCGGGCGGGCGCGCGCCCCCCGGACCCCATCCCCGCACACGCGCTCTCCCGTCGACGCGTCGCGACGCTCCGTCAACCGACGTCCGAGCAGGTGCGCGCCCACCGGGGGCGCCGCTTTCCACGCATCCGGCTCTGCATCGAAAGAGACGCGGCGCCACGACCATCCGAACGGGGCCAAAAGGAGAACAAACAAAAAATAATGGAAATAAAAATAACAAAATCAAACACGAGGAAACTTTGCACCTCAAAATGCGCATTTGGGGGATGTGCGTGATAAAGGACATGATGAAAATGCTAATTCTCACTACAAGCATTTCATGGATTCCAAGAGGCAACACTTTGCAGTAGAGTTCACTCTTAACGAATCGATGTTAATAGAGACATTGGAAAAGGTGAAGAAACGCATTGGAAATGAATCTGTATTGTGTTGACATTTAGAATTCGCACAATTATGACATTCCACAACGGTCTCGATTAAATTTAAAAGTATACTTAAGCTTTGAAAAGCACTAATGAAAAAAAGTGTTTTTTTTTATTGGATGATGTGTCATTTTAATTTTTAACCTGTTATTTTTTTGTTTCAATGCTGTTATAGAAATCTTCCCAAATATCACATATGCCCTTATACGAGTTCCTTCCATTGTTCATAGAGCTCTCAAGTGAAGAAACGTGGGAATAACCCGACTGCATCCAGTAGTCAGGTTACCCTCACACCCGCATTCCAGTTAATCCCATTGCACTTTTAGCTACCTCAAAAGACGAAGTCCGATGCCATCTCGGTCGTTATCTTGCGAGGGGGAAGGAGGAAACCATTTACCTATGTTACATTCATGAGTAACGCATAATAATTAATAATTATTAATGGAATGGACCACATGGAGTGTAGCAGAATTTTCAAAACTTTGTGCGTTGCCAAATAAAAAATAATGTTTTAATTCCGCATTATAATAAGGAAGATTATTACTCTTCTGTCCTTCTTGGAGTATCCCGCAGTATACGTGTATACACATTTCAATAAATTAAGAATACTCATTACAGTTTAATTACAAAATAGCAACCCTTGAAGCCATGAAAATGTCAAAAGGATCATTAGTTATTGTTTTCTTCTTTCTTATTCTTCATATGAGATGAATAGGCGGTCTTCGTAGCAACGATACACAGGCCAGCAATTTCGAGTACTTATGAAGAAAATCGAACGGAATGTAGACTATGCCTTCTTGGGGAGGTATGTGAGAGGCTCAAGAAAAGTTGACCGTGAGATGCAATCGGGTTATGTATTTTTGAAGAGCAACCTCCACTATATGAATGACTTAAGAAAAGTTTACTGCGGATTGCAGATGCATTCAATATATTTTTGAGGATCAACGATCCTCATAAGAAACGTTTCGGAAAAGTAGCAATAGGTATACGTATTTTTGAGGAGCAACTACCCCTACGTGAAAGACTTAATAAAGTTGACCGCGGGATGCAGTCAGGAAATGTAGTTTTGAGGATCAACTTTCCCCATGTGAAAGGCATAAGAAAAGTTTCAATCGGGATATATATTTTTGGGGAGCAACTACCCCCCCCCATGAAAGGCTTAAGAAAAGTTGACCGCGGGATGCAGTCGGGAAATATATTTTTTGGATCAACTTTCCCCGTGTGAAAGGCATAAGAAAAGTTGCAATGGGGTTACGTTTTTGTTGGGAGCACTTACCCCTCCGTGAAAGGCTTAAGAAAAGTTGACCTCGGGATGCAGTCGGGTAATGTATATTTGAGGATCAACTTTCCCCATGTCAAAGGCATCAGAAAAGTTGCAATCGGGTTACGTATTTTTGGAGAGCATCTACCCCTACGTGAAAGCCTAACGAAAAGTTGAGCGCGGGATGCAATCGGGTTACGTATTTTTGGGGACTCCCCTACGTGAAAGACTTACGAAAAGATGACCACGGAATGCAATCGGGATGCGTCCGGGGGCGTCAGCGGTAGTGACTGCGGTAGTGCCAACGCAGCAGCCCGCTTTTCCCGCGCGGTATGCTCCGCCGCCGGCGCTCACGACCTCGACGCTGCCTCCGCCCCGCCCAGTCGTCGTCCACGCGCCGCCCCAGGCGCCGTCGGAAGGAGCCCGGCGGGGAAGAATTGCTTTTCCTTCCACCGAAGTAAAACGACGGGAATTCCTCGCTTATCACGCACAGCCCAACAAAGCGCGGAAAAACGCTCCTTCTCAAGTCAATTACCGAAGAGAAAGGAGGAGTTAATGGCATCATTTGTGAAGTAGAGTAACTGGCAGAAAAAAGGTTATGTCACTACGTCGTTACTCCGAAGAATCGACCAATAAAGCTAAATACTTAGATGGATAATACTATTATTATGTTCACCTTTAGATTTCAAAGAAGTTAGAAAAGCACTTGACGTGTCTTAACATTTTATTGTGTTAATCATTGAAGAATAAATTATAAATAAATTCTTTCAAGTTTGAACATAACAAGAGGAACCCCTGCTATCCGATAATGGTTATGGCTCCCTCTAAGACCTTTACAAAGTGCGTAAGAGGTATACAATTGCTGATAATCGCTTTCCTTCAAAAATACAGCTCGCACACTCAAAAGGAAATGGTGCTTTGATTACCACGCCTCTTTTATTTCCATAATCGAGATAGAAAATAAGTAATATTTTGAAACGTACGATTCAATATTCTTTTACCTACCAATTATTCGAAGGTCTAGTGCATTACAGATTCCCACGAATTCCTGCGCAATCAAAAGCATACCCGTTTTTTCCCCACAGTTTGCATGTTTCTTTGATTTTTCACATAAAAAATTTCTACTTTTAGATTTTGCTTGTTGGCACACTATATTAACAATTCAACTTTCTATTTCATGCCAGAGAGTACGTGAACAACCAAGCTCCATGCATGCCTAGGTGTGAAGGTGGGGAGGGTGTGGCCATAGACAATGATGGGGATTCCCGGACAAGCGAGAGCACAGCTGGAGGCCACGAGGTATTTCGTCCTTCATCTCGCTCAAAGGCAAGGAAACTCTCTTCGGGTGGCGGACGAACCCATACCCGCACCCGCGCTGCCTTTCTCTTGGCTAACGCATGTGTCACGGGAGTGGCTGGCTTGGAAGTACGACGAGCCAACGCTGTACGTGGAGAGTGGACTGCACTAAACATAGAACGCGTTCTACATTCTGAAGTTTCATTAAAGCTCTAATACCTCCCGCAAGCAGGGTCATTACAAATGCAAAAAGGGTATTCGTCAAAAATGAAGCACTACAATCAACTAGTACTACTAAATATGTCACTACTTAAGCCAGTTTTTCTAAACGTTTAGTTGAATTTTTGAACATTTTTACCACAGAAAATTCCAATACAGGACGTTTGTTGTTGCAGAATTGCAGAAAAGTCTTTATGACCAATATTAAATTACTTGTATGTAGCTATGTACTTGGCGCGACAGCCCATATGTACTTGGCGCGACAACGGGCTTAGGCCTATCGGATGAAATAACTTAGTATATTTATAACTTCAATGGCTAGGCAAGATCTCTCTTTCAATTTACAGACTTACAGTCTCCTAGGCAACAGAGCATTGTCGAAAAACGTAGATCACTTCCTAAGCATTCTAAGCGTTTCTAAATTAACTGCAATATTCTCTCAAGCTCGAAAACAAAGTAATAATTATACTAAACTTCACTGAAGCCTTGCAAACAAATAAGAATTTTGAATTACGTTTGACTTTCTATAAGAAACAGCAAGGTAAACATCTCAGAGTTTCAGATAAAAAAAAAGTTCATACCGTTTCTCAGGAATGCTAATAAACGTTTTAAAAATTTAAATTTGTCGTAACACAGAAAGTTATATAAGCATTTGTGTCTCAGTTTTCCACCATAAGGAAAGAGGATTACGTGCGTCGTGCACCTACACTACTTCAAACAGGATATCTGGTTTCAAGCACGTTCCGGGACGTTCTGGCGCACACAAGCCTCAGCCTAGAGCTCTGTAATCGTAGTTCACAGGGCAGCCAACAGCCCACATTTCCTCCGACCGCAGAGCAACGACTCAGCATTCCGCCTCCCGCAGCAATGACCGCCCGGGCCGAACAAGTTGCAGGTGTGACCCGGTTGCTGGGAAGATTCACGCCCGCGCCGCCAGGAGAAAGTGCAATTTCATGCTAATTTCCTATTTAACCCTTCCTGCGGCGGGATTCGAATGGCGTTCGAATGCAGCGCGGCGAGAAACTCCACGCCCCCTCGCTCGCCCGCCTGCCCGCTCCCTCGCGCTCAATTGGTCGTCCGGGTGCATTGGTGAAAGAGCCAGTTGGCAACCCCCGTCGGCCCTCTCGCTCGCGTTACAACTGCTGCGCTAAATCTCTCAGGATATCCCCAACCCCATCTATTGCATCCTTTCTCAATGTAAACTATTCCTTTTCAGCTTGCTTTTTGCTCACTCCCTCTTCCCTTTCACCTAGGCCACCCAGAGGGAATCACCCGACTGCATCTCGCTGTCAGTTTGCCCTCACCGCTTCACAGCTAATCCGCTTCCACTTTACGTGATCTGAGGAGGTATAGACCGATTGCATCCCCTTTCGTTCAATTGGTGTTTCGGAAAGATAACAATTTTTCTTCAAGAAAGCAGCCTTCATGAGATGCAAACGTTGCAAGATTTTCAAATAGATGTTCTCTTACCATTCCAAAGAAAACCTCGAACACAGGCGAAAATGTAAGAATGTACGGAATTGCGTATGTAAAGTCAGTGGGTGTAAGAAGATGGACATCGAGATTTCAATTTTTATTTTTAAACTTACAACAAGTACTCTAAAGGGACGTGCAAATATTTCTTGAAAAGAGTTAACAGTTGATCAATTATAATGGACCATATAATACAAACGGACCACGGTAAACGTAGAAATCAATCTTTACACTAAGGAGGAAAACGCATGGGGATGGAGTCGGTCTACGCGTTCTTTGGGTGGGAAGGTAGGTGAAGGGCTTACGAAAGTTGAGCGCGGGATGCAATCGGTATATGTCCGTCTCAGCTCCGTGCTCTTGGCGCTATACAGGCCCACCCGATTTCCCTCGAAGAACTATTTCGCAGTGCATGCACACACCTACTCAACCGCGACCCCCAACACACAAACACAATGCACAAGTGCCACGCCGAACGGAATGTCAACAAACAAAAGAAGTCACGCGCGCCGCACGCGATGCCTTTCGCCTCGGCCGCAGCATCGTGCAAGGCCTGCGAGCTCCCGCGCTCTTCCACAGCCGCGAAACTCCGCCGCGGCCGGCCACGTTCGCTCTCGCCTGCACCCTTGCATCGAGATGCCGCGGATCGCCGCAACGAGGCGAGAGTTAAAAAAAATAAAACAACCGCAGCATCTCCTATCTCGCGCTTCCCACGCGCGTTACAAGCACTTGACGCGCGCGCAACACGCCACGCTCGGCTGGTGTCACGCCTCGGGGATCGGTTGCGAAATGAATTTGGCGAAAAGGCACTACGTCGCGTGAGACGCTTCGCCGAGACGCCGGGCAGAAAAAACACTGCATTAAGTCGGTTAAAACCTGGATTGTTTGTCTACCACTACGTAAAGACATCTCTTTGATTACTCTCACCATTGCAACGCCATGTTCATTGCTCATGATGTATAAATAAATTAATTAATTAAAAACAAAGTTGGACATTTCACAGGAATTGATATTTTGCGAATAAGCTCACGAGAAAACAAAAGCAGTGAAAGGACCCCCGAACGTCGTGAGAAATCGGAAACATTCTCCGAAAACCTTTTGTGTCTCGTTTTCCTTCACCGCACATTTCTGACGTAACAAATATTTTCACCCTCGTAGAAAACGTCAGCAGCCAACGCAGAGCATTCCCGTCTGCCGACGCACGAACGGGTAGCGAGTTGCGACGGGCAGTAGCCCCGGCGAGAGGTGCGGGAGGCCCTCTCACTAGGGGGAAAGAGGCGACGCAATCGGCTCCCTTCGCGGAAGCGAGGAAGGCGGCAAGCGAAGCGCTGCCTCGGCAAAAACAGCGCCCGAAGCCGCCTTCCGAGCGCGCGGGGTTAACGAGCAGCTGGCCCCGCGAGCGGACAGGGGCAGCGGGAGCAGCGGCGAGCGGGCCCTTCAGGCCAAAATAAAGAGGCGATATCTCTCATTAAGCCCCATTGGCTGCTCTTCCTGAAAGATTCACGCTTAAACACGCCGGGAAGTGAATGTTGCCGTGGGAGACACAATCATTAAACGGTCAATATTTTATCTACAACAACATGAATAGAAATCGCTTTGAAAAACTGTAAAATATTAAAGGTGGATAATTCGGGCGTCAAAACTTTGGACCGACGAAAATCTCGATTTGATTCCGGCAAAAAATCGCATAAAGTTAATATTGTATATACTCGTACGTATTGTACGTATTAATTTACAAGCATCGAGCAACTTAATTTTTATTAACGGTTAATTTCACCCATTCGATTTCTGTAACGTTTACAATTAATTAAGAAAGATATTATCTTTCTAAGCTGAAGGAGTCTGCAAACACTTTCATAGTACATGTTAAAAATCAAGGCAATTTGATAATCCCGAAAGGCTCCGATCTCAATGAATAATGATTATCAACATTTTACTGTAGTAACAAAGAGACGTTTGTTCTTCCAATTGCGAACATTTTACAAGAGAAAATCTTGCGTCTACATACAGCATGATGTCCACGGAATATGATCTCCCCACATTTAAGGTGGTAATAAACTATATACTATCGTGAGGTTATGAAGAAACCTTTAGAATTATCAAAGATTCAAAAAGGTGAATGTCGATAAATAATGGAATGAATTTAATAACACATGCCTCATATTCTATATAATGGAATAATAATTAACCAGTTAACATTTTTCATTTCTGTACGATCTGAAACAATAAAAAAAAGTATGGATCTATATGGTTGGCTCAAGGTCTTTAAGTTATTAGAAAATATGCACACTAAATTTCTAAACGTACGACGGTTTCTTACGTACAATGCTTGACATTCATAGCACCCTATGCATCCTTCTATTACATCACAGACGCGGAAACAAAATATAGTACAGGAAAAGAAAGCCTCTTAAAGGAAAAACATACAATAAGCACATAAAATGGAGTTATCTGGCATCAAATATACTACGCTGCCCTACTATCAAAAACGTTCGCGCTTTCATTACAATACAGAATATTTTGCAAGTTTTTCAAAGGTATCAAATAAAGTATCACAGGCAACCGCGAAGAAATTTTCACATGAATCCTGAAAGTATAAAATGTTTCAACTCAAAGTCACTGATACCGATGGGGAATGAAGCTTTCCATCGTTTCCTCGCCATGCATGCTCGGAACCCATTTCCTTTTATCCCATTCCCAACCCTACAACACGAACCAAATACGTTGCTTTCCTTTTTCCTTGGAATACGTCTAGCGCACTTGTTCTCACGCCGCCGCATCTTCTGTTACTCCGGGCGTCTTCCCTGGCGATTGCTCCATACCTTACGCGGTCGAGAGACGAATTTATGGCCGCGAGGCGGAACAAAGCCGATGGCAACGGCGGCGGCGGCGACAGAAACGGAGAAGATGGTTGCTGTTGGTGGGACGCTGCCAGACGCGGTGCCGGTAGAAATGACAGCGATGGTGGCAGGTTTTTGCGACGAAAAAGGTGACGGGTGAGATGGAAGGGTCGGTGTAGCTGGCGGTGTAGAGATGGCGAAAGAGGATGTGATGATGAAGGTGATGGTGACGGTGAAGGTGAGTGAGTATTCTTTTCGAGCGCGACAACTACTAATGTTATAACTCCAGTAAGTGTAATGTATGTTGCATTACTGGAGATGGCTGTGTTCTTCCCCTACTAGAAAGTGAGATCCGGTGCCGATATATAAGTCGGCTAGCAGGTTTCTTTCTCCGTGTACCTTCTAAGCGGAGCACCGCCCCATTCGAAATACGCTCTAGGCTCCCTACTGGTTTGTCGTCATGTACGGTAGTGTAGTGCATGTACATGTAACTTTGTGTGTGTGTGTGTACGATCGTGTATGTGAGCGGAGAGGAAGTGACGTGAATGAGAAAGAAATCGCTCGTTTGTTAAAGTACTACTCCAGGTGAGAGCGTAGGCTTCCGCGGCCGGAGTCAGTATTTAAATTTAAATAATAAATACTACTCCAGGTATTAATCGGAGTAAACACGGAAAACCATCGATCAAGGCACTCGGCCATTAGAATTCTCCTCCAGTGGTTGAATTCGACCCAATTAGCGCTGGTCGATGTCAAAAATCCGCCACCGACAGGATTCGAACGACAGTGGAGGTGGCGGTGCCTGTTGGCTGCGGCGTGGGCGGGCACGACTAGAGGCAGCCAGGCCGCGGCGGATGGGCGAGGTGAGAGGGGGGGGCGTTTCCATCTCGCGGGGGCTCATTCGATTGTGAAGCGCGCGAAAGGGGGGCGGGGGGGCGTGTCGGCTTCGGGAGAATCGCGAGGACTACCGCGAGGCTGCTCTTTCCCACGGTCGCTTCTGTTGTGCAACGTCCATCCATTCCCCGGGCGGCCCCGCGCGTCGCCATCAGGCGGAGCCAATCGGGAAGACGGCGGTGGCGGCGGCGACTCAGGCGGAGAAGGCGATCTTCGATCAGATCTATATCGCGGCGGCGATTTCGCATTCTGCACAGGCTTTCGCCGCTGCCGGGGACGTGGTTGGACGCGCGCGGCCCGGGCAGGAGGCGGTCGGTTCCTCGAGCCCTGCAAGTCCGTGGTCAGGCGGGCAAAAAAACCGGTCGCGACTTTTCGTAATGGTCGCCCTATATGGCCTAAGACACAAGGAATCTTCGACAAATAACAAAATCTAATGTTATCGATAATGTAATGCTCAACTCATTTTTTTACGTAATTGCCATATCGTATTTTTTTAAATTTATTTTCAGTTTTTTGGAATGTACAAGCAGATTCCTTACACACACTGTAAATATTTATGATACATACACGTACTTAGCAAACGTTTTTTTTAATACAAAATATATTACACTTTTTTACAAACGTATTTCTCATGTTTTAAACAGAACAATTCTATATTCAATACTTCCCATTACTCTTATTCTGCATATTTCGTGTAGTTATTGATGCGTTTCAATATCTACAGCGTGAAACTGAATAAGGACTTTCAGATAATTACAAAACATCGATTCAGAAAAATTAACTAGAATATTTCCGTCAGCATTTCCTGTACTACACAAAATAGTCAGAAAATCTCAAAGAATTCTGGAACTACTATTATTCTCAAAGGCAAGTATAGCAATGCATTTCTAAAACGCGACAAATCTTTCTTGTCCAAAGTGATGGCTCCACGGGAGCGGCTGATGATGTTCACCCCTGTATCTTACAGCCTGCAATCAGGCTCTCTATCCTATTTTGCTCCAACAAAATTTGACGATTTTATTGGAAATAATTTTAAATCTTACTTGAAATGTAAGCTATACTTGACGTAAACACCCTTATATTTACAAAAACCACAAATGGATACATCCTTAACATATTATAACTTCAGACAGATATAATTAAAAATAGCAAAAATGCTACGTCAGAGAAAGGACAGCGTTCGTGACATAACTGTATCAATGAGACATCGGACGGTTGAGCAAGACTGGTTACGATAGCTCCGCGCTATTCCTTGCTGTTACGACCTCAACAAAAATACGGAAGACCACTGAAACAAAAGGTAATGATGTCAGAGAAAAGCTCACTGGGCGTGACATCGTAACAGTTGTTTTCCAGCGGCAGGACATTCTGCGCATTCTTCTTAAACAAATAACCCATTAGCAAGCACATAAACGACACATCAAGGAAATCGTAACTGTACAAGATGACAAAAAAATTATGACAAGGCTTTGAACTTTACAATATGCTTTGACAGAATATCTCCAGTATTGAACCATCCATAAATTGAAAGCTGAAAAAAAATGTCGTAAATTACAAACTGTCATATTCAGTGAGAGCGTGTCTGAATGATTGCTGCATAACTAATACACGTTAAGGCAGGGGAAAAAAAACAGAGCCATTTTAATACATCAGCATGCTAAACTGGTTTTCATGTATCTGGCATTTAATATTAAATCACCAACAACCCGCAGCCTTCCCTGTTCATCAAGAGCGCGGCGCGTTTCCTACGTTCCAAATCGCACGCCGCTAACGTTGTCAACACATGGGACACGATCAGTCGCAGCCTATCATTAACTCCGGGGCTCGCATCTGAAATTAAAAAAAAAAACCTAACCGCTCTCGAATCCGGGGGCTCGGGTCGGCAGTACAAGGCCCGCGGCGTAGGCGGAGAGCGCAAATCGGCCTGACCGGGCCACGCCCACCGCCACCCGCGCTCCGGACGGATATTACGAGCCAGCGGCGCGGCGGCGGGGCAAGAGATGTTCCCGGCGCCCGCCTCATCATCTGACAATCAATTCCGCATATGAAAACAACGAGGCCGCGGCCGAACGCGCGGGCCGGGGGTGACGCCGCTATTATAAAAACCCCCGGCCCACACAAAACTGAGATATTTATTGGACAGTTATTGGGCAATTACTGGGCCGCAACGGAATGGATGGCGCGGACAGAGCGGGACGGGCAGGACAGGAGCGAGCGCGGGAAGGGGGAGGGGAGGTGGCACGGCCGAAGAATGGAGCAGGGCGGCGCGGCGTCGGGACGGCTGATGAGAAACGACAGCAAACGTCGGGAGAATGGGGCACGCGGGTGGGCCGAAAAGAATGATGGAAGTGATGAGTGTTGAGGATCCTGAAGAACGGATGGAGCGGTGAGAGTGACAAAAAGTTACAACGGAGGGGTCAAGTTTTAGAAACAGCATATCCCAATAAAACGGAAGCAGCACAACGAGAAGCAGGAAGTGTTCTAGCGGGAATAGGAGAAACCCCAGGGAAGGAGAGAAAGTGGACGTGATGAAGGTGGTACATGTGACGCATTGGAATCAGCGGACCCAACCGGAAGTGACAGAAAGGTTCTCGAAGATAAAGGACTGCAAGAACGGTCTAGAGCAAACAAGCGCAGGAGGATGCGCGAACACATTAGACGAAGCACCGACGTTGAAGTGGGCACGAGAGAAACCGCTGGAGAGATAAGAGGAGGGGGCGGGGCCACAGAGGGAGCAACAGCCTGGGTCGGGAGCGGTGAAGTCGCCCCCGCGCGCCGTCCGAGCGGCCGGCCG